ACTTGGGAGGCTGAGGCAGGAGGATTGCTTGAGCCCAGGAGTGTGAGGTTGCTGTGAGCTAGGCTGACGCCACAGCACTCACTCTAGCCTGGGCAAAAGAGTGAGACTCTGTCTCAAAAAAAAAAGAAAAAAAAAAAAGTTTCAGAAATGGGTAACGGTGATGGTTGCACAACAGTGTGAATGTAATTAATGCCAGTGGTTGAAATGGCCAAATTTATGTTATATATATTTTACCATAATTTTTAAAATGTAATAATGTAATATGCCAGAAGCCACTGTAAACTTTAAATGGATGGATTATATGGTATGTGAATTGATATCTCCATAAAGCTGTGAAAGAGGCAGCGAGCAGCTAGCTGACTTGGCCCCGGCCACCAGTCAGAGAGCAATGGAGCTGGAATGTGGTGGCAGTCGGGGGAGTCGGCCCCAGAGGGCTACGTGTGGCCACAATGAGCAAAGGCACACGGAGCTCTCAGGCCAGGGCCTGGCCCGTAGTGGGTGCTCAATAAATGAGAATAAAGAAGGAAATTGAGGCAGGGCTCTGGGGAAGTGTTTCAGTGCCCCAGGAGGGAAGAGGCACCAGGTGATTCGGTAAGTCTGTGCCTCGCAGCCCCCTGGCCTCCACCAGCTGGGCCCACCTCCCGCCAGTTCAGTGTTGTCAGCTGGGCTTAGACATCTCCCCTGAGCCGCTTATCTCAGCCGCCAAAGAGGGGCCAGGAGTGGTGAGTGCCGGGCAGGCCCAGAGTCTCTCAACGTCCACCTTCAGCCTGGGGAGTCTGGGGGCTGTGGGGCCTGAGCAGCTCTGTCCGGGTGGCCAAGGCTGGAAGCATGAAACTCCTCGTTGCGGAGCTGGAATGGGCCCCCAAATCCCACCCCTTTCACAGATGGGCCGCTGAGCTGAGAGAGGGCAAGCCGTGTGGGCGGAAAACCATGCAGGGTGCCCAAGGCCAGGATGGGCACAGGGGCTGTGCAGGGGGCGGGCAGAGGCCAGAGCAGGCCAGCGAGGTGTTGTGGGGGTTCTGTGGGGTCTCCAGGCGTGTACACGCAGGGGCAGCACACAGACAGCAGGGTGCCAGGGTGTGTGTAGGGGGTGTACGTAGAGCGGGAGTGTGTGCACAGGCTAGGGGATGGGGTGGGAGGAAGGGGGGTCAGCCAGGGGAGGAAGATTGGCGGGCTGTGTGTGAGAGCCAGTGCACACGGGAAGGGCACACGGAGCGCCAGCAGGAATGCCAGACATGCCAGGAACAGTGACAGCCTCAGGCCAAGGCCAAGGCCAAGGCGGGAGGAGGGAAAGAGCAGTTTCCAGGCGGCTGGGGCCGTGAGATGCTGGAAGAGGACAAACCATGGCCAGGGGTCCCAAACACCTGCCCACCCTAATCCTTTAGCCAGCAGGCAGCCTCAGCACCTCAGGCACAAGCATGTCCCCCATGTCCCAGCTGGCTGCCACACCCAGGGCTGGAGCCTGGCGGGGCACAGCGCCAGAGTCCGTAACATTCCTTGGAGAGTCAACAAAGTCAGGAAAGGCAGGCAGTTCTTCCCCTGACCCTAGGCCGGATGCAGAGATGAAGGTGGCTGCACCCTTCCCTGCAGGGCCAGAACAGGCATGAAGCCTGGTTGGGGGCAGAAGCCAGGGTGAGGGAAGCCGGAGAGGGAAGGGGGCCACAAGGCCTGACAGAGCCAGCACCCCAGCCCTGCCTGGCATGCCCCTGCTTAGCCTGGAGGGCTGCCCGCCCCTCCGCACCACCCAGGCCAGACACCTGCCAGGGCTGAGGGCCCCTCTAAAGACCCCACCTGCCAAACCCACCCACAGCCCCACTCACCCTGCAAGAGGCAGCCCGGGCAGGCCATCCGGAGAACCCTCTTGCCCAGGGGCACTTGGTGGTGTGTGCAGGCCAGGGAGGGATGGGACCAGGATTTTGCCTACTCAGGCCTCTGCCCACTGGGAGGATTAGGGGCAGGGGTGGAGCATGGGGCACAGGCGTAGATGGGGCTCTGGGGAGGTAGGGTTGCCAGAAAAAAATTCAGGACACCAGTTCAATGTGAGTATCAGATAAACAAAAAATAATTTTTAGTGTAAGTATGTCCCATGTTATTTATTATTTATCTGAAATTCAAACTTGACTGGTTGTCCCATATTTCATTTAGCAATCCTATGAGGACGCCCCTGGGGCTGGCAAGGCTGTGGGGGAGAGAGGAGTAGCAGGCCCTCCCTAGGTACAAGCTTCTCTTTCATTCATCGTGCTATGAGCACAAACTCTGCGCCACACTGCCTGGGTTTAAATCTTCTCTCAGCTACTTCCTGGCTTTGATCTCTGAGCAGGTTACCAAATGCCTCTCAGCCTCAGTTTCCTCGATTGTAAAAGGAGGCTAATGGTACCTACCTCCTATTATTGTGAACATTAAATGAGATGTTATGTGACAAGTGCCTGGCACAGTGTTATAAAGGTGTTAATTAGTATTCATTAGTCTATCATTGAAGATTAGGCTTTAACGCCTGCCAATGGTGTGGCCTTAGGCAGTGACTTCTCCCCTCTACCTTGAGTTTCTCATCTGTAAGTCACCTAAGGTGAGGACAGCACCTTTCCCACAGGGACATCCGAGGATTAAGCAGGATCAGGCCTGTCGCAAGCTCAGCACGGCGCCCGGTGCATGGCGGGTGATCCCTGGGCTCTAGATCTCTTCTCTCTTCAACTATTCCCTGCCAGGCCAGCAGCCCAGCCCAGGAACAGGGGACTAAAGGGGCACAAGCAACTCCCACTCTACATTCAACGTGGGCTGGGGGGTTCCTTCCTCCCCCTCCCTCATCTGGTTCTCCCTGGTATGGCCCTAAAGGCCTTCTCTTTTCCTTGGGCCCCTCTGAGCCACTCCCTGCCCTAGCTCTTGACCTGATTTGATATAAAATCTCTTATCTGCTAGCCTAAGGGGTGTGGCAATGGCAGTGGCAGGGTGTGGCAGTGAGGGGCAGTGGCTCTGGGGTTAGTGGAAGCTACCTGGTGATGGGCCTAGGCTTTGGCCCTGATGCCCTGAGAGGCGGGGCCCCAGGGTTGCATTTCGTCTCCACCCTGTCCCTGGGCTCCCTGTGGCCTCTGCAGTCACTCAACAGGATGGGGCAGTGGTGGGGAGGGAGGGTGGCTGAGATGACATCCTGGTACCCACATAGTTCCCCACAGTGTCATCCTGATGAGGTGCCCAGAGCTCCCGTGCAGCCTTACTTACTCAGCTGACAGGTGCTGCATCCTGGGCTCAGCCATAATAATTATTTGTCTACACATGTCTCTGCCCACTAAACTGTGCACTTCCCGAGGGCAAGGCTGTGTGATATGCAGCTCTGTAGCCCAGCCCCAGCACAGCGGCCTGGAACACTGATGGTGCTCAGCAAACATGTGTGGAATGAAGGGGCCGGCTGGGCTCAGCAGCTCACCTCTGCCCACCCACGGCATCCAGCAGCCCTGAGGGAGCCGACTCCCTGGGCTACCTGGCCACAGCCCCCTCCAGTCCCCAAACCACACTGCTTCTTAGCCCAAGAATGGCACCACCCCCCACCCAGAGATACCTTTCAGATCGCCCAGCCTACCACCTGGGGGTTCTGGAGTCCATCTCCGGCGCCCCTGCCCAAGTCTGAGCCCCGCCACCCCTGCCCAACTGATTCCCCAGCCCCCCTCCTTGAGTCTCCCTGTTTCCCCCCGCCTCCACCCCACCCTCCGCTCTACAAAACTCACTCTGCCTGAGCCCTTTCTGGGGTTCCTGCTGCCCTCTAGACAAGTCCACAACTCTGCAAGGAGGGGCCTGGAGGACCCAGCCCCCACCAGCCTCTCCCCTTCACCGCTCCAGTCTGGGGAGCAGCCAGAGCCCTCGCTGGCTCCCCAGCATCTCACATACCCCTCCTTCCGCGGTCTTGTCCCTCCGATTCATGGTCTGGCCTCCCGGTGCCTCAGCTCTCCCAGGGCAGGACCCCCGGGGCAGAGCACACTGCAGGCCCTGCAGAAATGTCTGTGGAATGCACACACGCAGAGACGCGGCTCATGTCTCAGCAAGCTTGTGCCAGCCACGGTGCTCAGAGCACAGCACCCAATAAATGCAGGTCAAGTGAGTGAGAGGAGGGGCAGCGCCAAGGAGAAGGCAAGACTGGCAGTCAGGACCCCCGAAGTCTGCCCCCAGATTCACACGGGGTTCCCAGGCAGCCTTGCCCTTCTGTTCCCTGTCATTAACTATTCTACCAACAGCAGCTCCAATACAGCACTTAGGCTGTACGGTCCTCTCCATGTCACACAGTACTCTCACACGCATGCTCACAAGTCCTATTCTGCCTGGACCCTGAGAGGGTACCGGTGGCCAGGTCATGGGGCATGGCCTGGGGACCAATCAGACTTTGCCTTTGACTAGCTGTGTGATCATAGACAAATTCCTTGACGTCTCTGAGTCAGTTTCCTCATCTGAAATGGGGCTTTACCTACCTACGTCTCAGAGAGGTGAAGAGGATTACATGACACCAGGTATGTAAATCACCTGATGCCCGCCTGTCTCTGAGACATGCTTCTTCATAAGCCACAGTTACTTCCTTCTCATCTAGTGACTTCCCCAAGTCTGAGATGAGACCCTTGACCTCCTGACTCCTGGGACACTGTTCTCACTAGCTGCTGCTGCCCCTGCAGCGGGGATGGAAGGCTGGCTTGGGAGGCCAGCCTCTTCCACAGAGGCCAGCCGCAAACAACTCTCATCCCCAGTAAGGGTCGCCAAGTCCCTAGGATGTCCCGAAGCTCCCGCAGACCCTAGAAGGGCACCCCAAACCTTTATCTCCGCTCCACTCTTCCTGCCCTTAGAGACCCCAATCCGCGCCCTCGCCCAAATTCGCACTTCAGCGCGCCCCGCGGGCGCCTCCTGGTGGGAAAAAAAGAACATCCTAGGCGCCCGGCTCGGCCTGGGGATCTCGGGTGACCCCAGGTGTGACCCCTGGCTGGATGACTGGACAGTGGTGGCACTCCACCCGTCGCCACAGCCTCCCCAAGTCTATGCAGCCTGGGAAGTCCAGAACGGCTCCCCGGAGCACCCTGTCCTTCCAGGCTGCGCCCCTGGGGACAATCCGCGCCCACCCCGAGCCCCCCTGCCCAACACTGACCCATCTTCTTCAGCGCCCGCAGCCCGGGCCTCTTGGTCCCGCCTTCCGAGGACGCCGGCGAGTGTGGGAGCGCGGTCGGTGCTGAGACTTGGGCCGACACAGGGGGCTCCTCAGGCGGGCGGCGACATCTCCTCCAGCGGCCGCACAGCATGGTTCGGTGAGGCGGGGGCCGGGGCCGGGCCCGGGGTCAGCGCGCGAAGACAGGGCAGCGGGGACGCCGCTCCGGCCCGGCCCCGGCTCCGTGCGCGGTCCCGAGCAAAGAAACTTAGCGGCGCTGGGAGGGAGTCGGAGAAGAAGGAGCCGGGAGGAGGGAAAGAGGGAGGGACGAGGATCAGGGAGGGAGGGACGAGGATCAGGGAGGGAGGGCCCGGGAGCGAGGGGGCGGGGCGAGGACTGCGCGGGGGCGGCGCGAGGCGGCGGCCGGGACCCCAGGCCCGGGAACGTGAGGACCCCGAGTCACTGCGTTCGCCCCTGCTCGTGAGTCCGCCTCCCCATTGTCCGAGCGATCCTCGGATCTCGGCCCCATGGGTGGCCAGAGCCCCCAGTCTGGGGGGTGGGGGGACCGGGCACCGGATGGGGCGAGGGCTGCCCTCTGGCACAGACACCCTCTCCCCTTCCGGGACCCTGGCTCAGTGGGGACGCAGGACCCCACTCCGCCCTCCGCGTGCGCGTCCCGCCAGCGGGCCTCAGCAGGGAGCCGGACTGCGGACGGGAGTGCAGGGCCGCTCGTCCTGGGCTAAGGGTCCCCAGGCCCGGAAAGCCCACAGAACCCCGGGAGCTGAGGCGCGGCCCGGCAGCGCGAGCCCGAAGGGCTGGGCGCGGCGGCTGGGGGCGGGGGGCTCTGGCAGTGACGTCATAGGATCTGCACCCCCGCGCGAGGCCAGTTGCCGCCCCCTCAGACTCCTACAGTCTTGAAGCTGGCTGGTCTGGACAGCGTGAGGCGGCTCTGAGTCTAGAGTCCCCGTCGGCTGGTTCTGGGGCTCTCGAGGCTCGGACAGGTTGGAACCGCAGCCCGGCGTTCGATGGTCCCGGGACAGCCGCCGCCCGCGTTACAGCTGTCAGTGACGTCACCCCACGGGTGGCCGTCCGCTCGCGGGTTCTGGTGGCTGTGTCAGGTGTCACCTACTATTTGTATGAAACCACCGGAGGACGGGCGCGAAGGGTGGGATGTCCAGGTGGCAGCGTTGCCGCGGCAGGTGCCCCGAGCCGGGCGGAGAGCTGGCCGCACACCGCCCCTCGGTGGCCGCCAACCGCGTGGCATCCCGCGGAGAAAGCCTCATCCCCAGGACTTAGATTTGCCACCCACTTGCCCCGCTCTACCCCATTCTCAGATATTCCCTACCCAGAGATTACACATTCTGGCTTGGGTCCCCAGCCCGCTCTGGAGTCCTGAAATTTCTTCCTGATTATCAAGTCTCTGCCTTTGTACTTTTGATCCTGCCATTTTTTCCTCCAAGGATAATCTTCCTCATTTTTCTCCTGGCTTACTTTTTTTTAATATAAACTAAGTTTTATTTATTTATTTATTTATTTTCGAGACAGGGTCTCGCTCTGTCGGCCAGGCGACAGTGCCGTGGCGTCAGCCTAGCTCACAGCACCTCAAACTCCTGGGCTCAAGCAATCCTCCTGCCTCAGCCTCGAGTAGCTGGGACTACAGGGACGTGCCACTGTGCCAGGCTAATTTTTTCTATTTTTGTGGAGACGGGGGTCTGGCTCTTGCTCAAGGATGATCTCGAATTCCTGGCGTCAAGTGATCCTCCCGCCTCGGCCTCCCAAAGTGCTAGGATTACAGGCGTGAGACACCGCGCCTGGTCTATTTTTTAAAGTTTTTAAATTATAAATAAATAAATAAATATATATATATGCATAGTTTCCTCACAGCAGGGAGGAGAGGCGAGGGCCTCACAAACAGGAGGAAGAGGGGTCCCATTCGCCATGAATGTCCGTCCTTCGTCTGGGGCAGCCGGGGAGAACGCGAGGTCATCATATCCATCGTGCCCTTTATTTTTCATTAATATGGATCCATAATAATTGTACATATTTATAGGGTACATGCGATGTTTTGATACAAGTATACAAAGTGTAAAGATAATTGGGGTATCCATCACCTCAAGTATTTACTTCTTTGTATTAGGAACGTTCTAATTCCACTCTTTTAGTTATTTAAAAATATACAATATATTATCATTCACTATAGACGCCCTATTGTGCTACCGGATGCTAGATCCTATTCCTTATACCTAACTGTATTTTTGTACCCCATAACCACCCCTCTTTACCCACCCCACTACTCTTTCTGGCCTCAGGTAACCATCATTCTACTATCTCCATCGGGCTTACTCTTAAAGCTTCCAAAGCTCAGCTGTGATGTCCCTTCTTCAGAACGCCTGACCCCAGGACATGACTCTTTTTATCCCCAGCGCCTAAGCGTCAGAAGAGCCGGGTGGGTGGCTCGGACCTGCCAGGCTTGGGCTCAGCGACAGAAGCGAATTTCCACCAGGGGGCGCGAGGACTCCGCGACCTTTCACTATGTCCACCAGGGGGCGTTGCCGCCCGCCTCGGCACTCCGGAGCTGGGAAGTCCGACTCCGGGATTAGCCCCGCCTGATTGGGAGAGGCACTGCAAAACTATTTGCATAATCTTGAAAGGGAAGCGCTGAGTGGGTGAGGTGTAGACGCCGAATGTAAAACAGGCTCTTTCATTGGCTTAAATTTCTCCCCTCGTTCTGCGACCCCATCCCGGCCAGACTGGACCCGAGGTCAGTCGGAAGCTGCCGGTTAGTGGCCAGAGAGGACCCAGGTGTCCGGACAGTGGACGCGCGGCGAGGTGAGGGCCGGGCCGGGGTGCTGGGAGCCAGGTTGCGAGACTGTTTACTTCGCCCTGACTCCGCCTCGTTTGCTCATTGGCCTGTCCAGGAGTTGGAGATGTGCACCTAGAGAGGCGCATCTGGGTACACATCCGGCACAGCGACCCTTGCCACCTGCCTCTCCACCCACCCACCAAGGTCCTTGCTACCCTGGCGCCACCACGCTGCCTTGAGGTAGGGAAAGGAGTTTCCTTAGCTGCAACTTCTGACCTCCCAGGGTATCTCTCTCAGGCCTCTAAAGAGCTCACCTTGCCCCCCTGGAAAATGGGTCCGTCGCTTACCGTGCCTGGTGGATCCTGGAGGGCTGCCCACACGGAGGCTTGTTCTTACAGAGTCACTCAAAAGTGGGGCCCCAGGGCTTGGATCAGCATGGGCACCGAGAACGAAAGCCCAGAGCCGGACTGCCGGACCCAGTTCCAGGCTGCAGTCAGCGTCATTCAGAACCTACCTAAGAACGGTGAGGCTGCGGGAACCCGCATTTTGGGGTCTGACTCTGAAGAGGAAACGACCCTCGTCCCTAGAGATTTTGCTGACAAGTCCCTGCCTGGTCTGTCCTGGGGGTCCCTTCTGCTTCCTGCCCCTGTCCAGATGCCATGGGTGGGACCCCCCCCCTCCCCACCATCTCTGCTCTCTCCAAGGATAGTTCTCCCCTCACCTCCGTCCTCTTGGAGCTGGGACTGACGCTCTGCCCTGCACTTCCCAACCCTCTGCCCAGGCACTTACCGTCCCTCCTACGAAGAGATGCTGCGATTCTACAGCTACTACAAGCAGGCTACCATGGGGCCCTGCCTGGTCCCCCGGCCTGGATTTTGGGACCCCATCGGACGATATAAGTGGTGAGCTCCCCACTGGCTGGGCAAACAAGCCTCAGCAGTCAACCAGCCCTCTCACAGCCCTCTGCCCCCAGGGATGCCTGGAACAGCCTGGGCAAGATGAGCAGGGAGGAGGCCATGTCTGCCTACATCACTGAGATGAAGCTGGTGGCACAGAAGGTAGGGAGGGGCTGTGAGTCCTCTGTCCCCAAGCTCCCAGCCAGGTGGCCTGCCCTCACCCTTCCAGTTCTCACCCCCATTGTGTTTTCTATACATTGACACCCCTGTGGGAATCACCACCTTCATGTTGCTTCCGCCCAACCCTGCCTGTCTCTGATCCCTGAATGGGCACAGAGTGGAGGTGTAAGGGTGGAGGGGAACAGGAGGGCCAGCCCCTCCCCCTATAGAAGCCGTCCCCAACAGGTGATCGACACAGTGCCCCTGGGCGAGGTGGCAGAAGACATGTTTGGTTACTTCGAGCCCCTGTACCAGGTGATCCCTGACATGCCAAGGCCCCCAGAGACCTTCCTGAAAAGGGTCACAGGTTAGACCCCCAGAATGGGAGTGCCACATGTGCTGAGTGAACTAACTTATGTCTAGGCTGAGGGGGCTGCTCAGTTGGTGGGGGGGTTGCCTGGTGGAGGGGGGAGAGGGCTCCAGGTAATGTCCCTGTAAGGACCCCAGCCAGTGCCCTGATGGGCTGAGTCTCAGGTAGTGTCCACAGCCAATGGGCAGTAGGGACTTGATGTCACTGAGAGGTGCCAGACTCTTCCCAGCCCCACCTCTGGGTTCTATGTCTTGGCAGGTTGCAAAAAGCAGGTACTGAATGGAGATGTCGGGGCTGTTCGAGAGCCTCCCTGCCTCCCCAAGGAACCAGTACCCCCAAGCCCAGGTTAGTGCTTGGGCAGGAGGGACAGAGGACCAAATGCAGGAGGGGTGGAGGGGAGAAGGCTGGATGCCACACTGTGCCCTTCATGCCTCATGCCCACAGACACTGAGACCTCCTGCGTTCCTGAAGGTGGGGGGTTAGGGTAGGGGGTGGTGGTGACAGGTTCTGTGATTCCTGTTCCAGGCCCTCACTGCTGGGGCCCACCTGTGCATCCTGTGGCAGTAACTTTAGCGTCTCCTGCACAGTGCACACCCCACCTCTCCCTCCACATCCTCCCTCTGGGCAATAACCCTGCCTACCCCCTCCCCAGAGTCCCAGCTGCCCAAGGACCTGGACTCTGAGGTTTTCTGTGATTCCCTGGAGCAGCTGGAGCCTGAGCTGGTGAGACCACCCCCATTCTCTCCCCTTCCTCACCCCACTGTGCCCCACTTGCTCCTGCTCCCGCCCTCAGACTTCTGATTGTTCTCTGAAGGTTTGGGCAGAACAGAGGGGAGCCCCTGGAGGAGAGCCTGACACCAGGAAGAGCCCCGTGCCCCCTGCACAGAAGGGTGAGCTCCTGCCCGACCCTTCACCCCCTCCTGCCCTTCCCTGGGCTGCCCTCTTCGGGCAGAGGGGAAAGTCTAGTGCTGGGCACTGAGGAGAGCAACCTCTGTCCAGGAAGGGTTGCCAGATACCTACCTGGATGGGCAAAGTCCCTGCCCTGCCTCCTCTCCCTGAGGGCCACCCAGGAGTCTGCACCCCACGCAGGTGCTGAGTAAGGGCAGCTGGGATGAGAGTCCTATCCAGCTCTCTCCCCCACAGCCGCGTGGCTTTGGGAGGTCATTCTCTCTCCCCCACAGCCGCGTGGCTTTGGGAGGTCATTCTCTCTCCCTGGGCCTCCCATTTGGGAATCAAATGACAATGGTGAGTTCTGCCCTCTTCCCTTCTAGAACTTCCTGTGTGCCAAGTCCCATAGGGTCACTTTCATAAATATTACCTCCTTCGTTCCTCCAAGCAAACAGCTCTGTGAGAGAAGTGACATCTTCCCTTAATTTTAAATGAGGCTCAGGGAAGTTAATGACTTGCCTAAAGTCACACAGATACTAAGTGGCAGTGCTGGGATTCAAACCCCCAGCAGCCCGTTATTCAGCCACGTGGATGGAATTTGCAAGAGTCACACTTGGTGCAGGGACCGTGTTCTACTCCCACCCTTCCCTGGACCCGCCACAGCCTGCCCTCACCCAGCCAGTAGCTAAATTGCCTCCTGAGTCCCCTTCCCTGCGTGTCTGTGCTCCACAGAAGGGTTGGGAGGCAGCCTGCTGGGCCCCCAGGAATTGGACACGTGGCTGGTGGGGACAGTTCGGGCACTGCAGGAGAGCATGCGGGATGTACAGAGGAGACTGCAGAGCTTGGAGAGCATGCCCCGACCCCCTAAGCAGGTGAGTCCCCCCTTGCTCTGGGGCAAGATTGGGGCAGAATTCTGAGTGTCTCTATTCTGGGCTCCTCATCCAGCACTTATGTCTTTGTTCTCGCACCTCCACCTGCCTACATCTCTGTCCAGAGAATGGCATGGCTCACGTTGCAGGCAGGGAGGTTGGGGGCATGGAAGGTAGGGCAGGAAGGGCCCATTCCTATTATGTCCCTCTGCCTGGAGAGAAACCGAGCCTGGGAACTAATCCCAGGAGTTGGAAGTGCCATGATGTGTCTGCTCTTTGCATGGGTGTGGGGTCACTGTTGCCCCTCAGTAAAGACTTCTGTTCACAGATTTAGGGTTTGCCTCCAAACAGTTCAGCCCTTGCATGACCACCTGACCACCGCCTGCCCCCATCTTGCTTGCTCCATACACCAGGCTCCTGGGCGCCTGCAAAATAAATAACAGCTGCCATTCCTGGAACCCCAGCTGTGCGCCAAGCACTTACTCACATTCTTTCATTCAATCCATACAATGACCCTATCAGATGGATTTTCTTTTCATCTCTGGCTCTGAGAGTTTGAGTAATTTGCCTGAGGGCACACAGCCTGGGAGAACCTCACTGAGCTGCCTTGAGAATTAGATCACACAGTGCCCAGCACAATATTATTACTATTAATATTATTATTAACATTAAGTGATGGAGCTGGGAGTGGACCCTGGTCTATCTCCCCCCACAGCTGGTACCCACCATTAACTCTGAGTGGGTCTGTTCTTGAGAAGCCGGGGGTGGTGGGGGCAGGAGAGGGCTGAGTTGCCTGATGTGGGGGATCTCTGGGGTGACCCCTAATCCCTCAGCACAGTGTGTGTCAGCTGTGGGGGCAAGGATTTCCTCAGATCCACAGTGGCTAACTTTTCAACACTGCCCCTCCCCCATGACAGGGCTTGTTTTCTTTTTCTTTTGTTTTTTTTTTTTTTATCTTTTACTAATTTTAAAAGCTGAAAAATAAGTAGATTATAGACATCATGATATTCCACCCTGAAGTACTTGGGTTCACATCTCTCAAACTAAGAACATTCTGCCACCTAGCCCAAACAACATTTTATCACACACAATCATTAATTCCTTAATATCATCAAATACCCAATCCAAATTCAGATTTCCCCTGTTATCCTGAAATTGCCTTTTCCAGCTGCTCCGTTTGTCTGGTCTAGGACCACACACTGCATCTGCTGCCTCTGTCCTGTAAGTCTCCATTAATGGAGACTAGTCCTTTTCCTTGCTGGTGACTTGCTGACCTGACCAGGCCAGTGTCCTATAGAACGTTCCACCTTTTGGGTCTGGTCACGGCCTCATCGTTAGTTTCTTTACACTTTATTCCCTGTGAACTGGAGATTAGAGCTAAGGACTAGATTAGAATCAAATTAAACATTTTGGACCAGATTACATCAGGGGTGATGTTCTACACATCAAGGGACACATGATATCTGAATGTCCCACCTTTAGTGATTCTAGCATGGACTGCTGGCACAGATGAAGGTGTGGCAGTCTGATCCCACCATTGTAAAGTTGTGTTTTCCTCCTGCAGCCAGGGAATATCCAGTTCCCCATCGACTCCATTTGCCATACAGTGTTTGACAATTGATAATCCTTGCCTGAATAATTTATTTAGTGATTGCATAAAAAGTTGACTTTTAAATGCTATTATTCCCTTAATATCTATTAGCTATCATTTTTCTGTAGTGTTTCCCTGATCATCTTGGGTTTCCCTGAAACACAGTGCTCTTTCTCTTTAATTATCTATTTGCAAAGTAAGGAATTGATTTAAAATCTACCTCAATGGTGACAAATTTCCAGGGTTTTTTTTGTTTGTTTTTTTGAGACAGAGTCTCGCTCTGTTGCCTGGGCTAGCATGCTGTGGTGTCAGCCTAGCTCACAGCAACCTCAGACTCCTGGGCTCAAGGGATCCTTCTGCCTCAGCCTCCCAAGTAGCTGGGACTATAGGCGCACCACCACGCCAGGCTAATTTTTCTGTTTTTAGTAGAGATGGGGTCTCACTCTAGCTCCGGCTGGTCTTGAAGTCCCGGGCTCAAGCGATCTCCTGCCTCAGCCTCCCAGAGTGCTAGGATTACAGGCGTGAGCCACCGTGCCCGGCCTGGTTTTCTTTTTTAGAGTATCATTATGGACTCATGGATTTTACAGATTCCAGTCAACTGCAATCATTGTTTTTGATGCTCAGACTGTCACAACTTTGGCCAGTGGGGACCCTTTCAAGCTGGGTCCTATGTTCTTATAACGTGACCCTAATAATCTTCAAAAGTGACCTTGCTTTCTCGTACAGGGTGTCCTATACCCACCCCTACCTTCCCTGCCCCAGACCTGGAATCAGCCACTTCTTCAAGGAGCCCTGGCTCCTTTTAGTAGAGAATGGTATTTAGAAACCAAATTCTGAGGGGCCTCATTTGAAATATGTGGCACATCCTTCACAATATAGGGTCTTCAAGTCATACCAACAGGGTCACTACTTTGTGGCCCAGAGGAGACAGCCTGGAAGCCCCTCCTTCTGCCCAGCAGCCCCTCTCCCACCCTCCAGTGTGGCTCCTTGGATTGCCCTGGGGAGGAAGATGTGGGAGGGAGCGGAGTTCGACCTGTCAGGGACACACTGGGGCCTCTTCCCTGGTGCAGACTTGGGGGCTGTCTCCCACTAAGTGGGAGCAGGTTCCTAAGGAGGGCTGTGCTGAGGCCTGGGCTGGCCTCTGACTCCCTCCCTCTTGACAGCAGAGGCCACGGCCCAGTGCTCGGCCTTGGCCCCTCAGGCTCTCGGGTCCCACGCTGCTCTTCCTCCTCCTGTGGCCCTTCGTCGTCCAGTGGCTCTTTTGGACTCGGAAGAGGTGACTCTCGGTGAAGGGGTCTCTACAGCCAACCGAGGAGGCTGGGAGCCTCAGTCTTGCTGGGCCAGGGTTTCGGAGAACAGCGTTAAGAATCCCTCCTCCCATCGATGTCTGTCTGGGAACCCCCTCCCCTAATGGGGGTGCCAGATAAGATCCCGCCCTTCCCTGCTGTTTCACAGGGACGCTCCCTCCCCTCCCCCAGCCACCCGGGCTCTCCCGGAGGCTGCAGCGTGGGGCACATCCCCGGTTCTGGGTTGGCCTTGACGCGGGGGCGGGGCTGCCTGGTCTCAGCCCTTGCCCTCCCCAGCCGCCGGTCACCTGACTTTCTTCCCACCCTAGCTTCTCCCCGAGGAGGTTCAGTTCTTGGGCAAGTTGGGACTTGGGCCGGGGCCTGGAAGGCTGATTGGCTGGTAGGCGCAGGAGGGAGGCCGGGAGGCCGGGAGGCGTTGGGAGGAGAGAGCAGGCCCCGCGGGAGCGGGAGCGGGGTGAGCACCGCTTTGCTCGCCTCCCTCCCTGGCGGCCCCCCCTCCCCGACACACTCAGGACGACTTCACCGAAGATTCACTTACAAATGAATGTTTCACTAAATAAAATAAAATCATTTTCTGCCGTCTGGGCCCCCACGGAGGGAGCGGGAAGCGGAGTCTGGGCGCGCGAGGCACAAGCCCCTTTCCTGCTCCCTCCCCCAAAGCTTCCGTGGACGCCACGAAAGGCCAGCGGTTGGCGTTTTTGAATGAGGAATATTTTCCCTCCTCTCGGGCAAGTGAAGGGAAAGGAGGCCTCGGTCTGCAGGGGTAAGGGAGGGGGACCAAGGGCGCCCGAGAGGGGTGGGAGGCCGTTGGAGGGCCGAAGGTGCGGGCCGCCGTCCCGCCCTGTCGGGGTCCCGGGGTGCGGGCGAGTTGCGCTCCGGGAGAGCTCGGAGGGGCCGGGGCGTTGGTTCGGCCCCCGCCCAAAGGGAAGGGCGGCTGTTCCTGCTCCGCGCCCTGGGTGTAGGGTTGGGGTCCCGGAAGTGTCGGATGCCCCCTCAGCTGCTTGTTCCTGGTGTTCCCCAAGCATTACCTCGGCGCTCAGGCCTCTCCAGGAACTTTCTGGAAGACCAAGGCCCAGCGGGAGCCTCGTGTTCCTCCCGCCCTGAGTCGGGGGCAGGCCCCACCGCGGCTGGGAGCCCCCATAGCGGTGGGCCGATCGCCCGCACGTGCACAGACCTCTGGGTGGCGCCCGCCCCTTAGCTTTCGAACTTTTTCTCACCTGCAGCAGCCTAGGTCATCCTCTGGCCAGTGCCAGCCCTGTCGTCCACTTTGGGCCACCCTGGCTCCAGACACTCTGAGCGCCTCCTGGTGCCTGGCACCAGGCTCCCCACTCGCGAGGGCCCCAGCAGCCTCAAGATCCCTGCAACTGCCACCACTTGACCCCAGGACCTTCCAGCCCCTGGGTGAGAAAAAGGCAGTTCTGAAGGCCGCTGGCTGGAGACCCTTAAACTCTTGAGCTACCACCGTCAGCCCCTGGCCGTGACCACTGCCCCCACTGGCGGTCACCATCACTCTTTAGTCATCAGTTCTCTCAAGGCAGGGAAGGCATAGACACAACAAGGACCCTGCTGCTCCACAGGGCCTAGCCTAGGAGTCACAAGCAGGGAGGCTGGATAAACCCCTTGTAATAAGAATGGACAACAGCAGGGCAGGGGGAGAGGGACCACACCGATGCTGGGACTGAGGCATGGGGCTGAGGGCCGAAGCCAGCTCTACCACTTGCAGAGTAGCTGTATGAACTTGGTTAAAATTCTTAACTGCTCCAAGCCTGAGTTGCCTTGTTTGTGACACAAGGATGATCTCTTCATCATAAGGCAGTCCTGGGGTTTAACAACCATCGCAGCCCTACGTGGTGGCACACTTGTGTGATCCCAGCTACTTGGGAGGCTGAGGCAGGAGGATCACTTGAGCCCAGGAGTTTGAGGCTGCAGTGAATTATGATTGGGCCATTGCACTCCAGCCTAGGTGATAGAGCAAGACCCTGTCTTTAAAAAACCAAACACAAAAGCAAAACCAACCAATGATGGGGCATGTAAAATGCCTGGCAAAGGGTTAGAACTCAGCTAATATTAAGGTTGCCCAGCCAGTTGTTTGATAGAATTCTAGAATTCCACAATGTATCAGTTTGGCCAACCTCTCCCCCAATATGACAAATGAGACCATACAGCTGAGCCCTGTTCAGTAAACCATGGCTGGGTTCAGCTGTACCTTCCAAATCCCTTGACTTGGGGTCCTCTGGAGTCTGAAAATGCAGTTAACCATTTGGAGGTCTCTGTCCCAAGTTCTCTGCAAAAATCCTTTTTCTTCAAGGAGCACCCAGTGTGAAGGGCAGTTCAGCTCTCAGGGAGCTTCCTAAGGGATGGATGAAGCCCACAGAGGAAGGCCTCTCAGGTGGATATCAATCCTTGAAGCTCAAGGAAAATGGGCTAGGACTGTCAATTTCAGAACACCTGGCTGGGCCCCAGAGGCCAGTGTGTGTACCTCTCCCACTGGAGATTGGAGGTGTGGCCACCACTGTCCCCACATACCCCACACTGCCCAGAGGCACCGCTGAATTCCCAGACTAATCTTTTCTTTGGACATGATGCTTGCTCTTTTTTTTTTTTCTTTTTTTTTTTT